ACTTACACCCTCCGTTCCTCGGTGCATCCATGGAATACATGCGAGAATTTCATAAGAAATACTCCGCAAATGACTTGTACGGACTCCCCAAGGCATGTCAGGAAGCCCTCGACTTGGCGCTCACTTGCTCTGATGCCGAGCAAATTATCCAGAAAACTTCTGATCCAGCCATTAAAGCTAGGTTTCAACATATCCGGGAGGCTCGGGTCCTTGGTTTTGAGGTCGATCCTTATACAGATATCGACGCCGCCGAATTACCCTTTTCGCTCGAAGACCTTCAGCATTTACGCTATCATTTCGAAGTCTTCTCGGCTGTATCGCTCTTCGGCCTCACGGCCGACGAGGAAAAACGGATAGCACGATTGGATACCTATTTAGACACAAGGAACGCCCGTATTGCATATGAAGAACGAGCCCGTGCAACAAAGGACCAACGAAAATCTTCGGCAGTCCACATCGCCGAAGGAAAGGGCTCACCCGCACTCGATTTGGTTCCCACGTCTCGGATACCGGCTCTTACCGAGGAATTCAAAAGTTTGATCGAGGATTTTCCGACGACTGCTACAGAGGATAGTTCTCCGGAAGACGACGACCATGACCCCATGGGCCCCTCGGTCCTCGAACATATGGAGATCAGTATGGTCCACGTCCTACCAGCTGAATTCCAACCGAGTACCCACCAGTCAAGTTTCTTGGACGGGGACGTAGTTGCCGAGGAAGCAACACAAGTAGACTTCGTCGCAAACGACGACGATAGAGAAAACCAGAGCGGGGATAACCTTAAAACCGCTTTGGCCGAGCTATTTCCCCGCTCCCCATCGGTTAATCTCCAACACCTGAAGCCGTTGTACGTCACGGCTCACATCGAAGGATTTCCCATTTCTAAAGTGTTTGTCGACTGTGGAGCCACAGTCAACATTATGCCGATATCCGTCATGAAGGCCTTACGTCGTTCTGATAATGAACTCATTCCATCAGGAATCACTATGAGCAGCTTTGTTGGTGACAAATCTCAGACCAAAGGGGTGCTCCCGTTGGAAGTTAGCATTGCCGGCCGTCAACACATGACGGCATTCTTTATCATTGATTCCAAGACCGATTATAACGCATTACTTGGCCACGACTGGATCCACCAAACCAGTTGCATTCCTTCCTCACTATACCAAGTCCTTATCTTTTGGGATGGCAAATCGGTCGTAGTCCACCCAGCCGATAACCAACCATTTGAAACCAACATGATTCAGGCTCGCTATTATGATAATCACGTCGGCTACATCACCCTCCAAGGCCTTAACGAGGATGGGCGGCCGACGAGAATTTCGGTACAAAAAGTGATTGAGGTCGGCGCCGAGACTGTCCAACAGGATTCGGCGAGACTTGGCTTGGCGAACTTGGTCATCAATGCCGATGATTAAGCACACCACGCAAGAACGGCGTCAGGCCGCGGTTTCATCTACAATGGAACGTCTGCTGGCCCATTGGTACGCCATTACCAAGCAACCACATTTTGGCATCAATTTGATCGAATTTCTGGCCGAAGCAGATAACGACCCCGTTCTATCGTTCGATAAAGTTCAGGCTGCGCCGGCCGAACTCGAAGACCATCGACCTCAAGTCAAGGACCCGTTAGAGGAAGTTAACGTAGGCACGGCCGAGGATCCTCGAACATTATTTATTAGTGCGTTACTCCCACCGTCCATGAAGGTCGAACTCCGTAAGCTACTCTATGAGTTTAAAGATTGCTTTGCGTGGAGTTATCATGAAATGCCTGGTCTCGACCGAAACCTTGTAGAACATGAGCTACGCATCAAGGAGGGGTGTAAGCCTTTTCGACAACCTCCTCGCCGATTTTCAAACGAAGTACAACTCGGCATTAAGGAAGAATTAGTTCGGCTTCTGAAAGCCGGGTTTATTAGGACCGCTCGGTATGTCGAATGGTTGGCCAATATCGTCCCCGTGTTAAAGAAAAACGGTGCCCTTCGCATTTGCATCGATTTCCGTAATCTAAATCTGGCTACTCCCAAGGATGAATATACGATGCCGATTTCAGATTTATTAATTGATGCCGCAACTAATCATGAACTGCTATCTTTTATGGACGGTCATGCGGGTTACAACCAGATTTTCATCGCCGAAGCTGACGTCCACAAGACGGCTTTCCGTTGCCCGGGGGCACTTGGTACTTACGAATGGGTAGTCATGCCTTTCGGCCTCAAGAATGCCGGCGCCACATACCAACGAGCCATGAATATGATCTTCCACGACTTAATCGGTACAATCGTCGAAGTTTATATCGATGATGTGGTCGTAAAATCCAAACGTCGTCAAACACACCTGGACGACCTAAGGCAAGCGTTCCTTCGCATGCGCAAAAACAACCTCAAGATGAACCCGGCCAAGTGTGCTTTCGGTGTTTCGGCCGGTAATTTCCTAGGATTTTTGGTACACCATCGTGGCATCGAGGTCGATGAAAATAAAGCCCGCGCCATCATTAGCGCCCCACCTCCGACGACAAAGAAACAGCTCCAGTCGTTACTCGGGCGGATAAATTTCCTCCGACGTTTCATCGCCAATTCGGCCGGTAAAATGAAGGCATTCTCTACGCTCCTTAAACTGAAGGGGACCGACCGATTTGAATGGCGCCAAGAGCATCAAATTGCGTTTACGCAGATCAAGGTGGCCCTTTCCACTCCACCAGTGCTCGTTCCACCTTGTCGCAACAAACCCCTTAAGTTATACATTTCGGCAGCCGACGAATCCATTGGTTGCCTCCTCGCGCAAGATAATAATGTCGGGCGTGAACAAGCTATCTTTTACCTTAGCCGAAACCTGAATTCCCCAGAGATTAATTATGCACCTGTCGAAAAACTTTGCTTAGCACTGTTTTTTGCCGCATCCAAACTTCGGCATTACATGCTCCCCACAGTTACGCAGGTCATCGCCCAAACCGACGTAATTCGTTACATGCTGACTCGGCCTATGGTCAAAGGCCGAATCGGGAAATGGACACTCGCCTTATCCGAGTTCAGCCTTCAGTATGTACCACAAAAGGCCGTCAAGGGGCAAGCCCTCGCCGACTTCCTGGCACAACACCCATCCCCTTATGGTTTTGAGGGGGGCGACGTCGACATCGGTTTCGTCACCACACGCGATAACCATTGGACTATGCATTTTGATGGTTCCAGTACTTCGACCTCGGCCGGTGTCGGTATCGCAATTCAGTCGCCGGACCACTGCCGATGGTATTTTTCTCTCAAGTTAGATTTCAGCTGCACTAATAATCAGGCCGAGTATGAAGCCCTCATTATCGGCCTCCATGTTTTACACGATCTGCGGGCCCCCCGCATTCTCGTCCTTGGTGATTCTGAACTTGTGATTAACCAGCTGAACGGCGTGTTCCGCTGCATGAGTTGTACTTTAGCTCCCTACCACATGGTCGCCACCTACCTGGCCGAGTCGTTCGAACGAATCACATTTGAACACATTTCACGTATTCACAATACTGACGCCGACGAACTTGCCCAGATCGCCTCCGGAGCACAACTCATGGGGGGCAAACTTGGTCGAATTGTGGGAATTGCGACCACGGGTCAACGATCGTACCCCGCCTTGATCAATCAGCAAACTCTCCAACGCGCGCACGTAATACGTACAAGGGTAATGTCGCTCCTATCCCTACTAGAACGAGGAGATCCCATAGAAGTATGTGCCGTCGAAGTAGAACCAGATGATTGGAGAAAGACGATGTTACGGTACCTCGATAACCCCAATGGGAAGCACGACCGAAGAACGAAGGTGCTTGCCACGAATTATGTGTCGTATCAAAATGAATTATATCGCAAGGGCGAGGATGGTTTACTACTATTGTGCCTCGGCCCACACGAAGCTGCCCAAGTAATGGCCGAGGTACATGAAGGAATTTGCGGAGCACACCAATCTGGACGAAAGATGCGCTGGTTGCTCCGACGACACGGTTATTTTTGGCCCAATATATTAAAGGATTGCATCGAATATGCACGGAGATGCGTATCATGCCAAATTCATGGACCCGTGCAAAGAGCCCCGGCCGAATTGCTACACTCGGTTACTAAACCATGGCCGTTCAGGGGTTGGGCAATGGATGTAATTGGAAAAATCACGCCGTCATCAGGGGCAGCGAAGCACGCATGGATAATTGTAGCAACCGACTATTTCACTAAGTGGGTCGAGGCAAGGTCATACGCCGAATTAACTGCTAAAGAGGTATGCAACTTCGTAGAGGAGAATATTGTGACCAGATTCGGCGTGCCAGAAACAATCATAACTGATAATGGCACTATATTCACGGCCGATAGGTTTAGGGAATACGCGGCAAGTTTGAATATCCGACTCGAGCAATCTACGCCGTACTACCCACAGGCAAACGGACAGGCCGAGGCAAGCAACAAAGTGTTGATCGGCATCCTTGAAAAAATGGTAAAAGAGAAACCTGGTTTGTGGCATTTAAAGTTAAATGAAGCATTATGGGCATACCGAACTTCACCCCGGTCGGCCACTGGAACCACTCCTTACGCGTTAACTTATGGACACGATGCTATGTTACCGGTCGAGTTGAGTATAAGCTCGTTGCGAGTAATCGAGCAGAATGATTTGTGCAGTATTGAATACAGTCAAGCGATGCGACAAGAGTTGGAAGACTTAGAAGAAAGTCGAATCGACGCAGGTAACTTGTTGATTGCGCAAAAGAAAATTTCCGAACGAGCATATAACCAGCGTGTAAGACAAAAAACGTTCGGCGAAGGAGAATTGGTTTGGCAAACTGTATTGCCCGTTGGAATCAAAGACCCCAGGTTTGGTAAGTGGTCGCCAAATTGGGAAGGGCCATTCATCGTTCACAAAGTCCTCGGCAAGGGGGCATATCATTTACGAGATCAGACAGGTTCAGTTCACAAATTGCCGATTAATGGAAAGTTTTTAAAGAAGTACTACCCAGTTACATGGGAAATGCAAGAGTAAGTCCATTATACTGACAGCAAAACGACCATGGTATTGATGGCAAAATAACCATTGTATTGATAACAAAAAATTCATTACAAGAGAACAAATACAATGATTAAATTCCTAAGGGGTCGAGGGGAGGAAGGTCTCGAGGGCAGCTTTTAGCTCCAGCCACTTGGCTTCGCTCAAAATTATCTCAGCCTGCCGGGTCTTCTTGTTGCATTGCAGTTGCTGGATACGCCGTGCACCGGCAGCGAAGGCCGTTAGCCGAGTCTTGTTGGCCTCAAAGTCCTTCTCAAGCTCAGAAGCAGCGGCCGACCTTTGCCGTTGAAGGTCAGAAATCTGACGTTGGAGGTCAGAGATCTGGCGATCGAACTCGGACAGCTTGGCTTTCTTCGCCTTGAGTGCCTCCATCTCCACTCGGCCGGCCTCATGCGCGACCTTGGCCACCTTCAAGTCGTCCTCGGCCTGCAAGGCTCGCTCGAAGACAAGAAAGTGTTGCCGAGTTCGCTCCAAGAGGTCGGTAAGGAAAGAGATACCCTCCGGGCTCAGATGACCACCGCTGGCGAGGTCATTGAGACACTCTCCAACAGAGTCGAGGCCTTTGCACCGAAGAGCTTGAGAAGCAGTCAGAGACAAAACTTCGTGCAGCTTCACGAAGACTTCGGCGGGCGTGGCTCCCACCGATTCGGCCAGAGCAGCAGAGGAGCCGGCCTCACCGGTCGTGCTCTGGAGTAGAGCGTCAAGCTCCATTTCCCACGACGGCTGCACATAAGAGGAAAATTTGGTGAAGAACAGTAAAGACGTGATGTAGTGCATAAAGGAAAAAGGAGAATGTTTGAGACCTGCCGAGAAGAGACTTCGGCCATGCCCTCTGGGTCATTGCTCGAACCCAGGGAACTTAATGGCCGAGCCCAGTGCCTCAGACCGCTACGCAATTCACGCGGCCGATGGAGGTCATCTACATTTGATGGCCACGATGGCGGCCAGGAAATATAAACAACGCCCCTCGGCGCATAAAATTGCCGGTGAAATGAATGTTCGGGCACCTGACATTTAATGGTCTTAAAAACATGTATCAAAAGAGAATCAACACAAAAGAAGAAAGACTTACAAAGGCCGAAGAGACTTCCTGCGGAGGAATGGGGAGATCTGCATCCTGCGGATGAATCGGCGACTCGGCCGTGGCCTCAGGGTCGGCCATGGGTCTCTTGCCACGATCCGCCACTGGAGGAGTCGGTCGAGTGGCCGCCTCGACAACCGGAGAAGGACAGACGGGAGGAGAGCTGACTGGTCGACGACGGCGTTCCAGGGGGAACTCTTCGCTCTCGCTCTCGACATCCTGGACAAAAAGAGATTATTTTACGACCAAGAAACCTGAAGGAACAAGAGTAGAAGCAGAATTATACCTCCAAAACGACCGTTGGAGTCGGGGGTGTTTCGACAGGAGCAGCCGATTTCCCCATTTTGGGCGCCACGACCGGCTCTGAAGTATGAGCAGATGCGGGTGCGACGATTGGATCGGCCTGAGAGACGGCTGGAGGATTCGAGGTTGGAGGTGCCTGGGCAGCCGGCACAGATGGAGAGCCGGCAGAAGCGGGTGTCCCAGTAGTGTCACTGGGGACGACATGAATCTCCCGGTCGCCCTTCTTCGCCAATTTCTTGACGCGCTTAGAAGGACGAGGGGCCCCTTGGTGGGGGCCTTTGGCAGGGATCGACCGCTCGGTGACAAGGGTCCTCTTCATAGGCGCTTTCTTCGCCTTTGCCACCGCGGCGACCACCTCCACCGTCCTCGGCACGCGAACCCCTGAAAAGCGAAGTAATTAGCAACGAGGATCAGGTTGTAAAACAAAGGAGGAAAGAAGAACGAAAAGACTACCTTGGGTCGACTCCTTAGGCTGTGTCGAGGATGTTGACCTAGGACGGTCGCCGAAGATCTTCATCGCCAGATCTTCGGCCGGGGCGCCGAAGAAGTCGCCGGTGTACTCCTCCCACTAGTCCCCGAAGGTATCAGTTCCCAGAGATTCAGGGACCGCCGGCCGAATCCTGAATTTCCTGCACTTCTCTTGGAACTCCTGGTCGGACGTCTTACACTCCCTCTCAGAGGAACCGGTAAGACGCCCCCGACTTAGGAGTGACCGAGAAGCGAGCAGGGGGACGGGGCTGCCTTGAATATAGCCGAGCTGCCGGGCGACAAAATGGGGGTGGTAGACCTCCCAGCCAGCTCGGCGGGCATCGCAACCCAGTGGAAGGTCGCGAGCTAAAACAAACGACCCCCAGCGCTGACGAATGTCCGCATCCTCGGACGCGGCCCACGCGGCCGTAGGAAGCTTGAGCGAGGAAGGGTACTCCTGGCGCCGGCACACCAGGAACTCGTCATCCAAGAGGACATCTAGGCCGAGGAAGTGTTTGAAAACCTCATCGGCCCAGTGAGGTGGTGCCGGTCGAGATGCCAGTTGAAGACCGAGGGCGGCCGTTCGCTGGAAGGCAGGGACCTCCGGTCGAAGAGTAGAGAAGTAAACCTGCAACCAGAGTTGGAACACCCAGAGGGGTCCGTTCTGATGCGGGTCGATCTTACCAATGGTCGCCTCGGCCAGGCAACGGTAGAGATTGGCGAGTATGGCTGGACTGAGCGCCAGCAAGCAACCATTAGCCAGTGCCTGGGCCACCGGCATGTTCTCCACCAGGCATTTGTTCGACCGAGTACAACAAATGAATTTGTTGTACCAGTAGAAGAGGAAGGCCTCGTGCTCTCCCTTCCTAAGGCTTTCCTCGCCTCGGCCGGCGAAATGAAGAATGAGAGTGTTATAGTTGAAGAAGTTCTTGTGGAGCTTCTGAACTTCTTCCCTTGAGTGCTCCCGATCACCCCGGCTTAGCGTCTCGACAGCCCTTTCGTCGAATAGTGCCTTCAGGTCGAGAGGAGAAGGGTATCCGGAAAGGGCGGCGTCAATAGGAAGGTCGATCGAGGAAGTCCCAAGGATGGCCGAGACGTCGAGGATGGTGGGGCCGAGAGGGCCGAAAGGCAGGACCATGGTGTTGGTGGCCGAACACCATAAACTCAGGGCCGCCATGAGCAGCTCCTTATCCATGGCAATTTCCATGGTTGACAGAATAATGGCATCGTAGATGCCGAGAGCCTTCCACTCCTTGGAAAAGAAGGAGCTCATTCGGTCGACCCAGGCGGCCCAGGCCGTGGTGGTCGAGGGCCAAGCTCCTTGAGGACGAGCCAAGCACCATTTCGACCAGTCAAACCCTTGAAGAAGGGGGGTTAGACATTGCTCCTTGAGCAAGTTGGTGACAGACGACGGCACTGCGTCTTTGAAGAGGGGACCCAGAATCTGGTGGGTGGTGGCCATATCCTCTTGAAATCGCAGCGTCTTGACGGCACTGCGATCGATGAATGACTTGCACTTATTGATCTCATCGGAAAGCTTCGAAATAAAGGAGGCCATTTGCAGAAGGAAGAACTAAAAAATTGCAGAAGGTCTGGAAGGTTTGATTTGAGCAAACAAAGATGAGAAATTAGAGATTCTGGAGTTTCTGAGGGCGTAAGAGGCGAATGGCAGAAATGTGGGTATTTATAGGCTTTTCAGAATGAATATCAAACGTCTGGAATTCAAAAGCGCTGGTTCAGATTGGGGGGAAATGTAACCGGGAAAGTCTGCAATCATTTCGGATATTTTGGGAACCTGCAAAAATGGGATCGAGGAGTCGAAAATCCAGGACGCACGATGGCGTGTGGCGACAGGTTCAATGCATTTAATAAGGATGAGACGGTTCAATTAATGCACGGTTTCGAGGCCCATGAGTGAAGCTTTTAAGAACGGCGGAGAATCGACACGTGGCCACGCGTTGGGGGCGACGAGGAAAGTGCAATCATGTCTCATAAATATGCAGGAATAATGGTCATTAAAGGAGTAAAGTTCAAAAAAGCAATAAATATCTTCGCTTCTTCAAGGTCGAGGCCCGACCAAGAGGTGACAGTCGGCGACCTCAGAAGCGAGGGGGCAATGTTTGGGCCCAAAATATCTTGGGCAGGCCGAGCAGTCATATGTGCTCGGCCCAAGGTAATAACAGATGCTATGGGCCGGATAATAAAACCCGGGCCAGCTGGCAGGGTCAGCCGAATCCTATCTCAAGAGGTCCAGATAAATAGGAAGGATTGAGGAAATCCTGATGCGACCAGGATTCTCGACCAGCAAGAAATAAAGCCTCAAAGGGAGGAAGATTCAGAATCCCAGTGGGAGTAGGTTTGTTCGAACCAGAATCAAAATGGGACAAGGACTCCCAATCCAAATCAGAGGAGGTTTCAAGGAATGGGGTACTATAAATACACGAGATCATGCAACATTAGAGGGACCTTCAACTCAGCATACAATTGCCCTGCGCAAAACCTCTCAATCATCTTGATATTTTTTCCTTTCCTTTTTCCTGCCGACACACCTTCAGTTTGGATAAACAGTACTGTGGAAGCAACCGGCGAGCACCTTCAGTTTGGATAAACAGCACTGCTGCCGCAGAATCAGCCGACCAAGAAGCATCTTCAGTTTGGATAAACAGCACTGCGTCGAGGTCGACCGATTATCTATCCAAGTCTCGGTCGAGGAAGGTTTTCGAACCTTTGTTGGCGGAGGTCACCTTACTAAGCTTTCTCGGCATAGTTAGGTGTTACGAATTGCATTGCTCGGCGTACTGGTCGCCGAGTGGTTTTATGATTGGATACTCACAGGTGAGTTTCAGGGTTCGGCATTCCGACGGCCGAACTACGTTTACCATCAAGACATATATCACGTTCGAGTACCTGTGCCCATACACCTTGGTCTCGATTCGACGTGCTTATACTCTCACGAATATAATCACAGTGACCGAATCGGGCTCGGACGATTTGTGAACTCCGCAGAATTAGCAGCCTTGTCTTCAAGCTGTAGAACCCAGAGACCGAGGGTGTTCCTTCCTCGGTCGCAATCGCAAGTTAAAGAAGTCAGCAACGCGCTCAAAGCTACATCAACAAATTTTACTCCTCGGCCAGGCTCGGCCGACGAGTTGGCACGCCCCGCATTCGACCGAAGGACGTAGTTAGCTTATTAGTTACTCGGCCTGCGCGCCACGTAGGTTTTGTAATTTTTAGGTTCAACAGGTGCCAACTAAAGTTTGAATCTTCGGACAAAAACAGACACAAAACCAATAAGCTTCTTGTCCTAGACCAGTTCAATTCCTAGTCCAAATACCAAATTCCGAAGTCACCTCTTCTCTCTCCCCCTCTCCCTATCTCTATCTCTAAAATGTCGGACGGAGCTTTGACGGTCCTCGACGGCAGCCACCTGAGAGGCGTCGACCTCACCATGCTGGATGCTGACGCCAGCCTAACGGGAGCTCAGGTCCTCGACCTCGCCGTCTCCAAAGCCTCTTCCTCCCTCTTCGGCCTCTCGCTGCCTCAGAGCCTCAAGTCCTCTGCTTTGAGTCGCATCAGCCTCCAAGACGACGACGCTTTCCGAAACGCGGCGCTCGATCGCGCGCAGGCTCTGAAGGTGATCGGCGAGTACATCACGGCGATCGCCGATGAATTGAAAGGTGCTATATTTAACTTGCATAAGCACAATTGTTAATGTTAATTACATATACATTGTGTGATGAATTGTGGTATAATCCGAAAACGAGGTTCCGATGAAGTTTTAAGGATGTCTTGTGTGATTCAGGATCTAAGAAAGTGAGGATCGGTAATTGATGTAGTACTTAAACGAGTTTGAAGAAATTAAGGTGTAATTTTAGTATGAATAATTACTGTTTGACTTTGAACCTGTTTGGTAGCTAGAAATGTCGGAAATGTCGACATGAAAAATACAAAAAAAATACATTTTTCTTGTTGGTTTTGTCTTCGGTCTCTCCGATACATATGACTTGTTCTTTCTTGCTGACAATATGAGAATCAGTTGTTTTGAATCTTTGATATGTTGAACTTTTTCGGGCCGAAATGGAATAAGAGGTTTGAACTTTGAAGTACTTAAATGATGGATTGAAAGGTCGAACTTGGTTGTTTAATTTAACGTATTGAAAGGTCGAAAATGCTTGGCAAGAACAGAAGTTGGTTTAGGAGAATTTTGATTGTATGATGTAGGACGTCGGAGAGCTTTATGATTTAATGATTAGTTGATGCTTATTGCGTGTGCTCAAATTTTGTCATCACTCTTCAGATGATCCACTTGTCATATCTGTCTTGGACGGATACAATCTTCGACTGTTTTTAGAGGACGAGGATGATTTTGCAATGTTGGCGGAGAATCTGTTCACTGATCTGGATGTAGAAGATAAAGGAAAGATCAACAAGAATGAGATCGGGAATGCACTTGCTCAAATGGGAGTTGAGATGGGTGTTCCTCCCGTTTCAGGTTTATCTCGATTTCATTGCTTTGGTTGTTAATTCTATGATTATATAAATGTACATATAGTTGCGCTATCTGCAACTGAATTAAGGATTCTGCACAGAAATTAAATTAAACTAAGCCTGAAGTACCTTGACTGTATTCGTATTTTCGTTTTGCAAATCAAGAATTACTACAAGTTTCACTTACAATGATTTAGTGTTTTCACATTATTCGTTTGTGCAAATTTTAAGTGATTCTAACAACTAACATCCATTCGTGTGAACCTAGGTTTGTGGGATATTATTTCTACATTCAAATGCATGATCTTTTGCTCACATGCTTTGTTCTATACATATGGGACCAATCACATGGATTCTCATCTTCCGTTCTTTCTTATATTGCATCGCTTATCAAATCGAGTGTCTTAGTTTTTATAGAGTTGATAATTTACAAGGTGCAATTTAACAGAATTTCCTCCTTTAAGTGATATCTTGACAAAACACGAAGCTGATGGGGACGAAGAATTTGGCCAGGCACAATTTGCTCAGCTACTCCAGCCTGTCCTGCAGGAACTAGCCGAG